CGCATAATCCAGTCCACCACAATTAGGACTATCATTGGTGATAGTAAGCACCCTTGTCTGACTCCTGTGTTTACTCCAAACGCCTCGCTGAGTCTTCCGTTGTGGATCACTTGGCAGGTGCCGTTGTAGTACAGCTGTTGAATAAGGTTGATGAATATTTGGGGTACGCCGTAGTACTCGAGTAATTTCCAAATTATTTCGCGGTCAACGCTGTCTGTCGAAGGCCTTTTCAAAGTCTATAAAGTTGAGGTAGAGGTTTGATTGCCATTCCATGCTTTGTTCTGTGATGATGATGATGCGTAGAGTTGCATAGTATATATATATATATATATATATATATATATATATATATAGTATCGAGAGTTTAATCAAATTCTGCATATTACTAGATTTTACTACATTTTTGTGAGAAATGAAGTTTAGATTTCATCTGATATTGCGGACCTATTATCGGTAACTTGCTATTGAAATATATATTCAGGTTATTTTTCGCTTTCTGAAGACTAAGTAATTCGAAAAACGTGACATTTTGTCCAAACTGTAGAAAGTTTCAACCTTAAGAATTCAGAATCAATAGTGAAGTCATACATTCTCGTGAATATGTAACTGAAGGAGTGAAATTCTGTCAAAGAGGAGGATTTATTGGCAAATCTTGGACGGAGGATAACAAACCTGGTATTGTTAACAATGATTAAATGCAATGACGAACTTAGCTTTGGCTCCATTGTCTCGAAAGAATTATTTGATGTTATTTATCACCTTAGGTCTCAAGTGGAACATAGGGCTTTAAGACAACGTCTGCATTTTCTTTGTTTTTCCGTTGCCCTCTTCAGCTGGCTAGCCACACGATTTTCCGTATTCTTTCACAGCCCCAACCCACAAAGCTTCCTCCAGGTCGTTTTCGCAACGATGATCCACCAATCGCCTCACATTGGGATTTAAATCGAGCAATGGCGTAAATTGCGGTTGATGTCATTCGACGGCCTTCTCAATGTATGCGGGATCCATTCATATCCATTTTCTCTACATATATGTTGAGCAATCGGCTTTTGCTGTTTGTTTGTTTGTCCTATTGCGAAATGTTTGCTGCCAATTCTTTCTGGCCAGCACAGCAGCTGACTCTTTAATTTTCAGAATGGAACCAGCGAAGTGGATAGCCAGCTGTTGATGAACATCTGCACTGAACTGTTGGAAATTCTTTTTGTGACATCCTCGCCAAGTTTCTAATCCCGCCCGGAAAAACTGGTTGACAGACATCACATTTTTGTTTAGAAACCGAATCTTGTTCTTGGTGTCTTGAAAGAGTAGTCCCTCCACATACATAGAGGATGCTGTGATTCACGTTATCAGACATTCATATGATTTTCCTGAGTATTTCAAGCTTAGTGTATCATTTTTTTAATACCGGTTTTTCATGTTCACGTAAACAGGACACACAGTGTCGTTCTTGTCAGAGGAATGGCAGTTTGTACGTGTTTATGACGGAGATAAAAATACTCAACAGAATATCTATCACCTAAACGCTATGCAGAAGGAAAGGAATATAGATTGGTCAAACACTGGCGAGACCGTTTAGTGAAACGTGAATGGTTCGTGGAGCGGTGAGTTGTAGTTCAAGGCTGACAGTGAAGCTTATGTGTGAAGGCCTATGGGCAATCAATCATAGAGTCATATAAGAATAAACTTCAGAAAAGGAAGTAGAATAAAATGATATCCTGTTCCATTCAAAACTTAAGGGAATCATAGTTTGATTTCGCAGGATCACTATAAGTTGCCTGAATGGTAGTCCATAATCAATCATTTCGTCTGCTCACTATCCTTTCCGTTTCATTTGCGGACGTCTAAATCATCAGACCTATTATCAACTAAGGTTCTAAGTGAGATTCTGGAAGGAGTGATTTCATTCCACGGTCTCCTCAGTGAGTGTTCGATCATGTCCCAATTTCTATCCTGTCTGCCTTTGATATACTCATATATTCCGGCCGTGGAGGATAAAGGTATCTCTCTTTAGATCACCTTCATTAATTGTGAATGGTATTCGTTGTTGTTAGTTAGGTATTTCTATCGCTTCTATTTACGATGTGCTATCTTCGCCTGTCATCGCTTGAGGTTTTGTACTACTAAACATTAGATAAAGATTATTTATATTACTCAAATATTCTCGTTACAATCTGCTTCAGATAGACTCATCCTCAATGGCTTTTCTGATTTTCAAAATAATTGACAATCGTTCACTTAAATCAGCTAACATAGTGTCGCAATATGAAAAGTATATCGATAACATTTATCGCTATTGTCGGAAATCAACAGAATGTTGGCTCAAAATCATACCTTCAAAACATCACTTAAAAATATGTCTGATAATTACTGGCGAATAACTTTATTTTGGTAGTTACTAGGAGTCCTCTTAGAGAGTCGTAACCAGAGGGGTCCACCAAATCATTCAACGGGGAAATTACTCTCTGATGAAACTGCCCAATGGTTGTGTTATACATAAATATGTTAAGCCACTTGATTGGATCCCAGTAGCTGAATGCTCTACAAGATGGGCATCCTATGACTGAGAGGTCCTGGGTTCGATTCAGATGGCAAATAGAAATTCGTTTATAACAACATTAGTAAGAGTATCACCTTCAATCTTCAAATTATTTCATCTAAGAGTGATACTACTATTAGTGTGATGAAATATCAACTGAAAAGTGTTCACAAATTTATGATTTTTACTCACATATGCCTTTCAATATTTATGGAAAGGAACAAAAGTAAAGTCATTAAGTCTTCCTGAACAGTAATTAATGTATGAATATAGAACGTCTGGTGTACTGAATACTCTTCTACATAGTAAAGTCCTTATCAGTACAGTGAAAGTGAACTGGTGAAACTATACTGTTGTTTTTATTTTAATCATTTTGTCAAAAGAACTCAAAGCGATTGTGAGTAGGTTTCGATTAGACAAGTGATGAAATGAAAATCAATATTTTCAAAGCTTGAGCCAATGTAGATTTAATACATTTTCCGTATATGTTCAGGCGCCTGTCGGCATTCACTGGTAACAAGCTGATTTAGTGGCTTTTCATCGAAAGCATAGTTAGGACTTTTGGTTGAAGGATTTCATCATGAACTAGGACTTCTTTTTAGCAGTATGCACCCTCTGAGGCTAGAACGCAGGACCCTCTGGTAACAAGAGAAGCTAGCAGACCGTTGAGACACAAGGAGCCGATACAGTGGCCAGCCCATAAAGTCAAACTTGTGTCAATTCATGACATAGTGTAACCACTTCGCAATGTCTTCCTTCTCCGACGAGTTACTGCCTTACCTTCAACCTGCTCTTAGTACTTTTATTATTCTGATATCAGTGTGGAAATCAAGTGTTCTCAGCTCAATGAACAAGATTCCGCTAATAAACACCGAAAGCATTTCAAACAGCCTACTGCAAATATTCATCAATATATGTGTCTGTGTGATAGTGGAGGTCAGATAGTCGACAAGAAAGAAACTCTACCAATCGACGAACGACGAAAACCTAACCCACAGCAACTATGCAGAAGGCTATGGAGGTAGATTTGATACACGTTTAGAAGACCACTGAACGGCATCACATAACAGGCCCACGTGTGTAACCTGAATTGGAAATGTTGCTTTGGATGTGAATAAGACGGCAACATGGAACAGAACCCCAAAAGTGGAAGAAATGCGAGAGAATAATGGATCGTGAAATGAAGACATACGTGTGACAAGTGAATGAAAAAAAAACAGTTTCAGCAGATCATGACTGATCATGAAATACATTATTCATTTCCCACATATAAATGAATCGCTTGATTCATTATAATTCACGTGACATATGGTTTCTGCGTGGCTAAAATTCGACCTAATATCTCCACAAAAACAGCGATTTGCGTGAAAGTGAATGATAAGCTACCACTCTTGACGTCATCAGTGTAAATTTGTCTATTGACCGACTTGTGTGAAGATTGGTATTTCAGCCGTACCTATCATGGAACACTTACTTTCATGGTTAAGTAAAGGGTAAAAAAGATCCTCCTGCCGCAAATCTATCCTGCAACATCCCATCGAATCAGGACACCAAGTTTATCCACAAGCCAGCTTCAAGGTCATCACCTACAGAATACTCGGGAGACTTCCTAAAAGAAGTAAAATACAATTCCATCAAACTCAAAAATCAATTACAATTCACAGATTAAACCACGGACTCGGCATACAGAAAAAGTGTGTTCCATGACAAAATCGACAATGGACATAATCTATCTGAACACGGGATATGTAGTTTTTTTTTTTTTATATATATATTTTTAATCACATCATTTTCTCCTACCAATCTCCATTAAATGTCTAACCTTTATCGAGACTGTTGTTAACGTGACTCTTGTTAATTTTTTTTTTGGTTGAATTCTCCTCAACTGTGCCAATCATATCACATCATTGAATTTACTTATTTAGAGTAGTAATTATATAACTCCATGTAATTATTAGAATTAATCGTAAGGACAGATAGCCATACATCATTTCATGTTGAACTCCTTCAGACTATCAATTTCAGTTTCAGCTTTAATCTTTTCAAAAGACTGGATGCTGAACAAAGAGTACTCTTTTCGATAAATTTATCATCAAGCTCTACATTTATACATACATTATAGTGAATGAATGAATGAGTGTTATGAACGACACACACACCTTTCGCATTGTTACCACACACACACACACACACACACACACAATGAGAACAGGGAAGTAAGCAACTTTTCTAGATGGTTTCAGTGTGTTGTCACCTCCTTGTCAACTGATTTTGCTGAATAATTATGTTGGTTATTGCTGTTAATGGCTTGGATTTATGCGAACTAAGAGAATCAGCGATGCCAATCAGAGTAAACGCCAGGGCAAAAGACAGAAGAAGAAAGTATAAATCCAAGCAGTGATGTTAAGCGAAAGCCAATGTCCATTCACTAGTGGCTAGTCAATTAATTAATTAATTAAATCGCTTATAATCCAATCACTGGAGGGCGTAGATCGATTTCCAGCACAACTGGTACACTGATATTCTTTAAACCACTTGGATTATTGTCCACTTTTCTGTCATCCCAGTTCGCAGTAGACGCAGTACAATTAGCAGTTTCACTGGTCTCTATATTTTTATCATTATCATTCTCCACTGGGAACTTAAAAGATCCATGCGTAAACAACTGACAACCACAAACTCCTCTGGGTAGAAATTTTATCCCATTATCAAAAAAAATTGACAACAACACCATCATTGTGAAGTCGACTATTGTCGTCGTCAGTCGAATGTTTGCTGTTTATACACCTAATTACAGTAATTGTGTCACATGATACGATTTTCACTTCAATGTTTGCAATCTGATAAGAAGTGGTTAACACGAATAAAGAGAATAATAATACGCCTAATATTGATTCCACTTTTTCGACCTGTGTATCTTGCCTTAACTGACCCGATGAATCCACTAATCACCCCTTCTCACCATGTGTAGTCATCAGTGAACAGTATAGTGTTGTCAGTGCGTTTGGTAGTTCTGCCGTACGTGATTGGGAGTTCGATCGACGACCACTCTTACTCAGCCTGTTAGGAGCAAGCTCAGTAAGGTCAGAAAGGTTAGACTGGGTGTGGCTAACAACCGTTCACCTCGTAAAGAGTCATCACACCACTGCTACCGGAAATAAAAAGCTCAAAGCTTGACGCCTTATGTGTTTCACCTGTATGGTAATCATCATAAGAAGTAGAATAAATCTTAATTACATTTACTAAATGCATGAAGAGTGCTTCATTTTTCACCGAATCAACAGAAATAGTGTCGAAATAAACACTGAAATCCCTGTTTTAACTAAAATTATGTATAATCGAAGAAGTCATCATTAAAACAGAAACACCTACAGGCAAATTTATTTGTGTTACATGGTTTCACATTTTTTTCTATTAACCGAGATAGATAGGTGGATAGACGAAGCAAGTGAGTGCCAACAACTGGAGTATGGAGTGACGTAAACACTCCAAAAACAGCGGATGTGATGAGTATAGAAGTGTTTCATCCGCCAAAGGCTCGAGGGGGGGCGAGACGGTGGGGAGGATGTGTTTTTCCCTGTGTTTACCACACACACACGCGCACTAGTAACAATTTTCAGAAGTCATTTGAGAGAAAGTGAGAAGAGTTACGCAATGCAATTTTATTGTAACAAAATTTGTTCGACTTTGTTGATGATGTGGTGAGAAATCGTTTAATTAGGATTTTTGTGAAACTGTATCGTATTTTACATCTGAGAATATTGTTACATTCGACAAAACGTTGGACATACAGCAGTAGAAACCGCCTGGCATTCACTCTGTCAGCAGCATAGTGGAATAATTCAGAACTAAATCGACGGAAAAAGTATCAGTGATTGTTGGAGGCGATCGTTAGGAAGCCTTGGATCTTGGTACTCACTAGTCATTAATGTGTATTTGCAAGCTTGATGAAATTCATGTCCCTTCAGAGATGAGAACTCACATAACGCACTGATGCTACCTATTGCCTCCAACCATCTAATACCAAGAATTCACAGTGCATTGTGATGGCGAGCCACGTGATATGATGGACACATTATAAACTTGACTGATAGAATTCCCTCTGCATGAAAGATGTGACTAGACGCATTACACTGGTTACTGAGTGATTTTCAATGAAAACATTGTGTTTACATATATTTATTTCGAATGTCAGGAGTAATAAGCTTATAAGAGGTTTCTACATATGATGAGTAAAGTCGTTTAATCATAACATTATTGATCAGTTGCATTCGACACTTCTATATAAGTAGTATATCTTCTGTATTGGATGTTCCACAGTTAGCTCAGCTGAAATCCTTCGATCTACTGTTTTTCGTTTGCGTTATATGTTTGGTTAGAAACTCATATTCTCATAAGGATGGTGTAACATCTACTGATGCATTTATAAGGACTTCAGAAAAACTGCCAACTTGCTCCAAAGGAGAAATTAGAGATTCACAAGCCTGTTTATATCGTAGTTGATCATATGTCTTTCTCTGGCATCAGTTTCAACTACTTTGAAGACTGCTTTCATTTATTTTTCACATTAACTGTATATGTCACAGTCGCAATGAAGCACAGCATATAAGATCACTTTCATGTCTTTTTGGTTTGTGTGTTATAAATTCACATATGCTTCTAATGTTTTTTGGGACATATGTTTGTGTATGACGTGGTTGATTTTTGTTTAGGCTTTCTGACCAGTCATCCAGTAGTCAAAGCTATCTACTGACAACAGTCAGCGTCATCTTGATGGAAATACTTTCAGTTATACTTGCACGGTTGTCAATGAACAACACACACAGAAGTATTGACTAAATTGACCATAGTTATAGAAATCAAGGTCTTGTGCTTCTGAAGTGGTTACTGTAGGTCTCCGATGGAGTTTTCACATAGAGGAACATCCATAATGCCATCCAGATCCGATCCAGCCTGAATTCTTAGTCATCCTGCCTTCATTTGAAACACTGGTACCTAGGAAAGCACAACCGCCAAGTCATAGTTTTTGATGTTTATTTCTAGTGGTGGTTAGGTATGTTCACTTGTGCTATTTACAAGATATATCAGTAGCCTATACATGCACATTGATCGGAAAGCTGCCCAAACTGGAAACAGTGAATTCATTGAATTCAGAGGTAAAAGCGTTTATTCCTCATACCCGAATATATTTTACGTTGTGGTCAAGAAACTATCTCATTGTACAACTTTTTGCCTCAAGGTTCAACCTCCAGAAAATCGACAACCAAATGCAACAGCTTATTTGCTGAACCAGTCGATATTCAATGTAGCTAAAATGTGTAAATATGATAGGTTTTTGCACAGTGAAAAATGGTCCGTTCCCACATTTCTTGTCTTTCCTCTTTGCAAGTGCCCATTCCGTTAACTTGTAAATTTTTATTTGTAAACTTTCAAGTTTGTATGTCATGTGACATCCAGAATTCACGAAATCTGAATGCTCTGAGATATCTCTGTTTCAGTCTAACAGTATGACCTTTGCTTGTCATTTTCAATTGTCTATCATCACGCAGTGTGATTCACAACCAACAATCTGTGTAATCGATGAAAGTCAACAGCTCTCTTTTACCTCTGTAATCCTCTCTGTGAACACTTTTGTCAACATCCCTGGTTTGAATTATAATATGTGTGAAAGTTCAATGGGACACCAGTCCTCTCTTGAATTCGAAACCTCAGTAAGCTTTCCTGCATTCGGAGGTGTGACTACAAGAGCTGCTAAAAAACTATGTTAGCGTACTAGCGAAAGAGGCAAAAGAAGACTGTTGTCAATGGCCAGGTCTAACTACAGTGGACTTAGCGCTATCTTTAGAAGACCTTCAGCAACAATGTGAAATAACCAACGCCAAAAAATTGAACACAGATTGGTGACTCAAGAATCCTTTACTCTTGCATCAATATGGAACCAATTATAAGGTTATTATGCACAAAGTCTAAGAATAAATGTCATAACAATTAATCACGATAGAACCAAATTTATCTTTATATAATAGTGTTCCGATAAATCATTTTATCATATATTGTGCTCTAATATTTATCACGTGGTGAACACAGTCTGTGTACTTCTTAAATAGTAGACAACAGTGGAAAACTTAAGAACGTGGAATGGATATTATATACTATTCTTAAGTATAAATCCTAATGCGATTATAATCATTCTCTTGGGTTCCAAATGGAATGCAAGGCCTCCAATCATAACTTAATTCCGTCATGCTCTCTGAAGTTGTCTTTGAGTGTCTCCACGATTGTCCATCAGCTCCGTGTCATCTCCTCTTAGTGCCGTGTTCATCGGAGAATACGCACTCAGCCGGTTGCTTCTCATTCGACTTCCATTCAAGGATTTGGATGGTAGACAATATCACTTGGCCTGCTCCTGATCTACCTCTGTTTCTGCAACATATATGTTGGGTAATATGTCCTTTACTGATTCTTGCTCGGGGTTACTAATCGCTAATTAGACTCTGTATAGGATTAGGGGGCACTGAAAGGCAGCTATTATTAAAAGTCTAAAGCCTTTGTGAAATAATTTCGGACACACGCTAAAACTCTGAGAAGATATTTTTTTGATGTACAGCATAGTTTTGATCTCAGACTGTTGTGTGTTTGATCTGGAATTATTCTTTCATAATACCACGCGGAATGTCATACATAACTGTATTTTAGTAACCATCCGAGTTGCAATCATCGCTAGTCAACTTCTTAACATCTCCTGAGGAAATCAAGAGGAATAAGGCTAGTAGAACTGTCGATACTAAAACTTTAGAGCTGTAGCTTAGAGTGACATGCCCTGTTCGGAAAGCAAAGGTCTGAAAGGAGGTGACAGTATTGGGGAACACTGCGAATTAAATTATCACAAACACAATTGGATATTCAACTGAATTCTCTTGAAACCCATTGAGATGTTACAGAATTCCTTTAGCTGACAGTTGAAATGTCGATAGGGCGAATTTCCTGCATTTTCACTGAGAAACGTACATGATTTCAAGAATGAATAACTGAAGGATTAGTTTACGCATAAACTCACCAACTTTGCCTTTCTCATACCTTTATGAATTCTAGAGTTTATTTTGGCATGCTACCCAGATAAAATGTGTTCACAGACAGTGTGCAATATCTAGATTTTTGAAACTTTTGAGACAGTCACGTATATCTGATTTTCCAATAACGGCTTTATTCCTGTTAGAAGAGACTGGAGGGTGATAACTGGTTGATAGGCATAATAGCACATGAAAAAAAATAGAGGAGTAAGGATAATCTAATTAGGACAGGATACATATTTTCACAGTTTAATTCCTCTCCAGTATAAAGGAAATGTGATAACAACCACCAGCCGCATAATCAGAGTTATTTCTTTACAGGATATACATGACACTAAGAGTGAAACTCTTTGTTCTCAAAACATTTTTATAAAGCACAAAGCCAAGAGAGCTGAAAAGAATCCTTCTGTATCTACACTCACAAGAAGTCCATATATATAGGACTGTGTTTTAAAAAGTCTGTTACAGGCAAAATAAAAGCCAATAAGTTGAGAAAACCGGTTCGAAGGACTTTTTCATATTGAAGATCAAATGGCTAGCTCGTCAGAAGGAATCGGCATCAAGAAACTCCGGAAACAAACCACTCAACGAGCATGTAGAAGAAAATAGAGATGGATTGCGCACTGGCTAAGATGATCGTTAGTCGACACCACGCGCCAGGCCATCG